CCACTTCAACCAACCAACTTGATTAGTCTTTAGAAATAAAAAAAATTTAACCGCGAGCATAGTCATAGTATTAATCATGTTATTTTTATGCTAATTTTTGTTGCTCGTTAATAAAAAAAAATGCGAGTAGTTGCATTTACATACGTACCACTTAATTTTTGTGAATTTACATACCTAACATCTAAATTTGTCTTGTATATTTATACTACCCAAATCTTTTATATCGTATCAAAAGTTTCATTGTTTTTATTTAAAAAAAATAAAATATGTAAAAATTTAAATTTAGATTTTAGATTTATAAATACATAAGAATTAATTGGCAATAAAAATTTAGTTCGATAAAGCATTTCAAATAAATTTTGACATCATTTCCATCTTGATTTGATTGTAAAAGTGACCAAAGATGAAACATATGATAAATTATAATTGTGCATAATTTATAAATTAAATATACTATTTTTTTTTTTTTTTGTTTTGTTCATAGTTTTATACATAATAAGAGAACTCCATTACCTAAACTTTTAAAAATCAAGAAAATTATTATCGAAATTCGGAAATCAAAATTTTCATTTGTCAAATTTGTGATTCACCCTCCACACTCAAATTTATATGTAATAATAATAATAATAATAATAATAATAATAATAATAATTGATATGTCGTCAATAAATTTCTATCATCTGATATGAATCTCGAGACATAACATGAATCTTGAGGTAACTTTTTGAGCAAGAAATGCTCAAATTTTGATTAAAAATTATTCTAAACTTCAATTTCACCAAAGTTAAATTCAAGCTGATCGACTTGATGAGGCAAACCCAATAATACCAAAATTGGTCAAATTCAAGTCAAATAAAACATAAATCAAGCTATTAAACTACATTTGAAAGAATTCACTGTATAATCAAAATGTCAAAAAATTTCCAAATATAAAAAGCTTATAGTCAAATCGAACTTCTCGACAGGACTAATCTAACGAATCAAAGATCACTCAATTCTTGCATCATTAAGACTCCCTAATGCCCATAGAATACCGTCCGATCATAGTGGTATGTATTCCTTCCTTATTTACACTGAGACTCTATAAATAGAACATACGCTCTCTTGAGAGGGTACCTAGACCTGGAGTCAAAAGAAAACTTGAGCTTAGAGAAGAAGTAGCTAACGCTTAGCATCAAAAAATTTCTCTCTTTTGTAGTCGTTGACCACTACATGCTGGCCACCGATTGTCTCCGTCGGCCGCCCTTTCCCATAAATCACCATCGACCACTACCTGCTACTTGTAACAAAGTCCCTTGTGGATGTACAACGTGCATTTCACAATCCCAGTATATGTTATGGAATTATGAAGTGTCCGACAGAGCAGTATGTCGTATAGTACTACGCGCAAAGGCACACCCTCAAAGACGATGTAACAATGGACCCCGAATACAGTGCAACAATGCACCCCAAAGACGGTGTAATAACACATCCTGAATATGACTACCTTTGCAATCTATTGAACTTCCAATGACCTATAAAGCCATGAAGGGGCCACCATAAACCTTCTTATGATAGTCAAGGGGCCACCCTATATTTCTCAATAATTATTCATCTGCCTAGCGAGAACCATATATGCATGATTCAATTATATAATTTATGCTAGTTGCTTTCCATCAATCATGATCATCCAATTTATTATCCATAACTACATCCACCAATAATCTGTGATAATAAAAGAGGCAATATTTATATGCATATCACACAATTCTCATGTATTTACCCATTGAACCGCTAAATTTTATTTTTTATATTTATACCATTTAAAATTTTCATATCACATAAATAATATCACTATTTTAACTTATAAAAGTGATATATTCTATGGAATCTGATGTATATTTATATATTAAATTCAAATGCATGGTACATTCTAGGGAAAATTATGAATAGGTCCCGGCCAATAATGCTAATTGCGTGATTTAAACTTTAAGGGCATTTGCTCATGTACAACCCAATTCCCATGCGTTTGCATATGCACACCTAGATTTTGCTTTTTACATTTATGCCAATCAAAGCTTTCACAATACATAAAAAATACCATCATATTATCTAAAAAAAATGAAATACAACTTCTAATGCACGGGTAAAGTGTAATTTATGTAAGAAATGAAGTCTAGATGCTAGATATGTGATGCAGAGGAATTGAGTGCAATGTATGTAAATCTTTTTTTATATAGACAGTTACATACATACCGCTCAATTCTTATGAATTTATATATTTAACACCTAAATTTTGTTTTTCGCACTAACAAACTTGATCAGACCACAATAGTAGGTTTTATTTCAAATGGACAATGAGACCAACAACTACTGAAAGATTGTTCTCATGTGAATATGATTGACTGGATCTTAGCAACCCTGATTTAGTCAGATCTTCAGGATGAGTGTTGTGAGTTTACCAAAAAATACACAAAGAGAACCATTATTGCATTTGTGAATCAGATTGCCTTCCCTACCCATTCTGGCTAGCGGCGGACCTAGGTAGGGTTCCAACCCCTCTCAAATTTAGTTTTTTATTTACATGAGAGTAAATTTTTTTTTTTCTATTGAAATGTCAGTTTTGACTCTTCTGAAATATCGCTTTGCTCTTCGTTGCCCTAGCCCTCCAATGTTGGGTCTAGGAGGTCGTTTGACCTCCCTCAAGAAAGTTGTTGATTTTGCCCCTGATTCTAACTAAAATATTTACACCTATACCCGTAGAAGTACATGTTTCGCTTGAGACTAATCATGCATGACACTATACCAAAGAAGACATGGCTGACTAGGAGGAGGATTTCAAATTCACGCAATTGCCCTGAGATTGCCATGCTATGTAGGATCACACCATCATTATCACTAATTGTCATGCGATGAAGACGATCAATCAGACACTTGAAAATCGGGGCATGTGAATGCTACTAGATTTCCAAGATTTTGATGATGTTATGAACAAACTTGCTACGACATGGGAAGACACTTCAACTTGGGTTCATATTTTTTTTTCATTTTTTTTTTCACCACTATTTGTGCTAACAATGCCAACGTACATGATCGGGATGCTTCCTATCATCGCGGCCCAATCGAAAAAATGTTGTCCTCTCGCTTATTCCGACCAACAGCCACTGAAACATTTATATCAAGAATGCTTGTGGCCTAAATCAATGATCTTAATTAAATTGCTCTTGGAAGGGACAGTGGTCTACCATCTAACCAAGTGATCGTCATAATCTGTGATAAAGGGGTTTACATTGAGAGAGAGTTACGGTGAGCACCTGGGCCCTGTGACCACACTGACCCAGCCCACTAAAATTGACTTAATATTATTTTTATAATTTTCTTAAGTAAATGGCTCAAGCAGTGCGACGAGCAATCCTGGAGCAATGGAGTAAGAGAAGAGAAGAATAATTGGCTATTTGAATCATTTTTTGTTGATAAAAGTGGTTTTATTTAGAGAAATTTTTTTAAATGACATCTTATATACGATTTATAAAAGGAAGCTTCAGCATATAAGTAAATGTAGCTCATAAAAAAATAATAATAAGATTTGTTCATGTTGATGTTAGTGGCTACGTTCTTGCAATCTATAGGACTTCCAATGACCAACAAGCCTTAAGGGGCCATCACAAACCTTCCTATGTCAGCCAATGACCACCCTACACTACTCATTATTATTGATCTACCTAGCTAGAACTATCTAGGGAAAAGTATGAATTACTTGGGACAGATAGTAAAAATTGAAGTTTAGCTGTTAGATATGTGATTAAGATTTGATTGTTATGTATGTAAATGTTTTTTGAATGAGCATTTGCATGCATACTGTTAGCGCTGGCGTGGAGTCCGGTCCACCCAACCCGCGAACTCTCGCCCCCGCCTCTCCTTCTGTTTTCGCGAAACGACGCTACCGATCGCGAAAGGGCCACACAGGGTCACACCTCTTCACAAATAACTCCTCTCTCCTTTCTTTTTTGCAAAGAGAAGCATCAATTCGCCAGAAATTGCTCCCACCTACTCTATTTCGGAAAGCGAAGCATCCCTTCGCTTCCTTCTCTTCGTGATAAAATGAGAGGCTCTCCTTCATATCTGTAAGTCACAAGAAGTCACGATTTTCTTCTTTAGGTTTCCTCGGGATAGAGGAAGAGTTTTTCGGGTTTCCGCTGGACAGTGGAAGAGAAGAAGTGCAAGGAGGAGTAGTTTCTTGTGGCAGAAGGAAGAAGAAGATTGTTCTCCCTAGACTTCTTTTTTGTGGCTTGTGACAGAAGAGAAATTGAGTTTATTTCTCTTGTAAGTTTGTCTTCTTCGGTGTATCTCGGTGTAGAGTTTTCTTCGGTGTATCTCGGTCTAGAGAGAGAAGAACAAAGAGAGAAGAAGAGAGAGGGCAACGAAGAGTGAGAGATTCCTCTTGTAAGTCGAGGTGATCGACTGATGTAAATTTCCTCAAGTATTAAAATCCTCTGCAACTCCGTGGACGTAGACAATTTGCCGAACCACGTAAATCTGTGTGTTCTTTTTTGGTGTAAATTTTCTCATGCTATTTTATTCGCTTCGTCGTCGATCGTTTTAATATTTTTATATACCACAACCTATCACAACACATACAACTCAATTTCTATATATTTACTTATTTATAATCTAAATTTATTTTTTTTACATTTATTTTACCCAAATTTTTTATGGGACATAAGAGAAATTACTATTTGAGCTTTTAAAAAATGTTTAATATATAGTTGAGGTGGCATGTACATATATTAAAAAAAAATTGTTTTTAAGATATGTAAATATCAGGAATTAAGAGGCATTTAATGCTGAAAACCTGCCTTGATGCGCCCATGTCCCCTGAACCCATGCTTAGTCGTTCTCTCCGTTGTAGTCATTCCTGCAGCGTTCGTGTTGCGATACTTTCCCTCTTTTTCAGTCCAGTCTTTACACGGTGTTGTGGGTGTAGCTCGTACTGGCATTCCTTTTCTGCTCTCTTTCCTCGTTTCAGCTTCCGGTGAGAGTTCTTGCAGCCTCTGCTCTCGTTAGAGATGGACATGACCTGTATATTTTTGCTTGTCTTCCTGCTTCTCTTTCTCTGTTCTGGTTCGAAAGCTCAGATGCCCGGTATGCCTTCTTTTGTGCTTGATGCGTGAGTTTGGTTTATGAGATTTTGCTCTTTGGTGAGTGGTTTGGATGTTTCGATGTGTTTTAGGTTCTTGAATTTGGTTTTCAATTTATGAGTCAGAATAGGGAATCTTAGTGGTAATGGGGGGATTAGAGTCTAAGATTAGGATAATTTGAAGCCATTGGTTAGTTCGTTGGATGGTGAAGTACTCTGACGTTGGTGGGTTGCCTGATTTGGGAATGATAGCTGAAGGATTTCGTTTCAGGGTGAAAAATTGAGTGATAGGTTTGAACTTGTTGGTGTTTTTGGAGTAGAGGATTACTTGCTCGCTAAGTTCGGTGATTTCAATATATTTTTATTTATTTGTTTGTTTGTTTGTTTTTTTTTTTTGCTTTTTTCTTGCGTGGAGATTTGTTGAATTGGTAGTAACATTTGGGATGACTGTAAAGTAATGGGGTTGGGAACTGTTATAAAATTTAAATAGGTTTGAAATTGGAAGTTTTTACAAATAAAATTTATGCTTGTTTTTCCTGTGTTGGATTGTATCCCTTGTTCAGTGAAATGCATTGCTTCATCTTAAATTCCATGTAACTACTGGAAGGAATACAATTGAAGAGGCTTCATTGCTCTTCGATGATGAAGTTTTTTTCTTTCCTTTTCTTTTGATGTCACAGGGGCATATAGTGCAAATTATTTACGCTTTTTTGTTGGTTTTTGTGAATTTCCTTTGTATTATTTGTCACAACTTGGAATAATACCATATAAACTTAGCAGGATAGGATAAGTTTGCAAAATTAGGCTGATTTCCAAAAAGTATAAACGTTTTGCAATAATACTGTTGAGAAAATAAGGGCGAAGAAAACAGTAATCGACACAAATCCAGAAGAACACAGAGATTTAACGAGGTTCGGCAAAGATGCCTACGTCCTCGGGAGCAGAGCGGCGAGTTCCTTTCAATATTCAGAAAAGGGTTACAGAATAGAGGATACCTCCTGGGGTTACTAACAGGCCTATTTATAACCCCAGGAGTAAACCTAGGCACAATATGTAATTACAACATTACCCCTGTACCATACCGCGGGGCTTTGCCCCCGCACCCCAACCCACGTAACTTCCCAATTTGGACAGATTCTACGCTCCGCTCCGCTCCGCTTCGATCCAGCGTCTGTCCCAATATGGTATATGAGCCATACCATAACAAATCTCCACCTTGGCGAATATCCAGCCCCTTAGGAGAAAAATACCTGGGAGTTACACCTGCACCACT